TTTTTTTTATTCTTTGTTTTAAAAAAGTTATAAGAGATTAAAGTTTATATGAGTTTAAAAAATTGGCGTTTAATATAAAAAAAAAGAAAACATATATAGGTTTTTAACCAATCAAAATCAATTGCTCAGAAATTAGCCAATTAGAATTGATTATATAAGTACCAAAAATTGGTGCCTATATGTATAGATTGGATGTCTTTTGCTGTTCCGCACTGTAGTAAGCTGTTTGATGACTCTTAATAGTATCTAAATTTAGTACACCTATATTTGCTAATAGTGGTGGATGTTAAAAATTTATTTTCTTACTGTCTATATTATAAATAAAAATTAAAGTTATATGAATAAATAAAGGAAACATTTATTGATTTTAAAATATTAAAATTATTTAGTTTTATAAATTTTGATGTTGCTATGAATTTTGCAAAATGTACTAAATTAAGTACAAACCTATAAATCCAATCCATTAACAGGTATTTTAGAGTGCATATTAAAGTGGGTTTTAACTATTTCAATAATAGATTTACGAAGCTCAGGAGGACAGACAATATAATATTCACTATCATTACATTGTAGATTAGAATAAAGGAAGGATTGAAGAAGGTAAATTCCTTTATAGCTTCTTCATATTTATAATTTGTATGTTCAATTCTTTTACAACTTTTAAGCTTTTCTTTAAGCGCTTTTTCTATATGCCATAGACAAAGTTGTGTATCAGTTAAAGGCCATATGTTTTTTGCTGCTGTTATTTCCGCAAAGTCTTTATCAGTATAAAAGTAAACTAGATTTAGATCTTTATTACGAAGAGTATTAAAAAAGTTTGTAAGTGCTTTAGTTCTCAATCCTTCTTGATTTTCATTTTTAGTAGCTTTTGTGATATCTAAAATTAAGTAAGCTAATGCAAAGCCTACACCTTTAAAATTGCCAACAAGCCTATAAAGCTCAAATTGCCCTTTAGAAGTTTTGTACGTAGCATCACAGTGTATCTCCATATAATTTAATTGGTCAAGTAAGTAGGTTGTAAAACCGATAGCTGTTATATTATCCATATCAAGCTGAAAACATAGGTCACAATAATTATTAGATTGTTTGTCAAAAAATATACATGCTGAGATAACATGGTTTTCATCAGTTTTGTAGAATTGTTGTGTAAAGTAAGACCACTAGTAATAAATTTGCTTGGATGTGATGTTGGATATATCAAATTTTTTTCAAAGATGTTGTCTTAATTCAACAGGATTTAAATGTAAGTTTTCATTAATTTTCTGTTTTACTTCAGGTGGTGTTGCAACTTCGATAGGTTTATTATGTAAAATTTTATGCTTTAATATTACTTTGGCTTCTGCTGCTGGTATATCAATTTTAATTGATATTTTACCATTATAGTCATAGTGAAGAATTCTTTTACGATTTGAATCTTTAAACTTGCGCTCAAGTTCACAGCTTTGTGAACAAGCAAAATAAGTATTTCCAACACCATGATAATGAGCTGGTAATTTAGGTGCCATTGTAGCTCTATATTTTAGGTAAATTAATCTATTAGTATATAATTAAATAATTATAATGCATACTTGCAGAAAACGATTTTGAAAAACAATTTAATATTTTGCTTAAGATTGAATTTGCTTTTTGTATTTTGCCAGCAAGTATAGCTAAATCATATGAGATTTTTGCTCTAAATGACCTTTCAGAACTATGTAAATCATAGTTCTGAAAGATTATTTTGTTAGCAAAAATCTCATATATACAGTATATATTACATATGTCCAATTATATCCATCTCCTTCTTCTATTTCATCAATTATTAATTTTGCCATAATTTTGACATTCGTATTGACATTACTAATAGTAACATTATCAAGTTGAATACGAAAGGTAAGGGAAAGCTCTTCACAATCTTCAAGGTCAGCCATTGCATCTGAGACATATCGACTAACTTCTTGAATAGAGATTATTTCAACAAAAGAACTTTCAATACTAGAACTATTGACTAATTCACTTTTTTTCTCAGCCCTTGTGAATCTACAATTATTACAAGTTTTGTAATTTCTACCATCAGTTATAAATTCTTCAGAGGAATGTTTTTGTCCACTAGTGCTACACGATGGCATTAGAAAGGATCTTTTTATTGGCGTGTTTTATTAATGCTAATAGGTTTGCTTAGTTAATTTATAGACAAACCGATTTTGATACCAAATAGTTAATCTTTGAATATAATGTCAATAAAAATTGCCAGCAAGTTTATTGAAAAAATATTAATAGTAAGTGCGAAATAATTATTTTTGGTAATTTATTAATTATGTCAGTTAATCAAAAAATGACAAATTTTATTTTATAAGTGTAGGTTTTGTATATTGCAATAATCAGGAAAGTAACTTTATTATGAATTAAGCTTTGATATTTTAAAAATTTTGACATTAAACTAATGTTAAAGATAGCTATTTAAATATACCTTTTTTTTACCAAAATTGTGTCTCAATCAAATTTGTATAATTTGATCTATCATCCGATATCTTATGATATAGTGATCAAATTTTGATGATTTTGATACTATTTGAATCGTTTTATTGAAATGATTCAAATAGTATCAAAATCATCAAAATTTGATCACTACATCATAAGATATTGGATGATAGATCAAATTATACAAATTTGATTGAGACACAATTTTGGTAGAAAAAAGGTATGCTTTTTAGAACTTCATTATTATTTGGTGATTAATTCGACTATTTTGTAGATACAAATTCATATGAAACAAATAATTTACTTGATTCGAATGTTTGGAATGAAGATGCCCAAATGAGCGTGAAGTAGTAGATTTATTCAAACATTGAACTAGAGGATTTAAATATTTGAATTAAAATATGGATAATATTTATTCAAAGGTTGAATCGGAGAGCCCAAATAAGTATAAATCATTTGATATTTCATATATTAATTAATGTATGTTAGAGGCTAGAAAATTAATATATTTATAAAAAAATCTTTGTCAATTTATTTATAACTTTTGATATATATTAATTAGTAAGAAATTTCTAATATTTTATGATTCATCCGAATATTAAACCTGAGATACTAAAGAGGATCGAAATGGGTGTAAATTTCTAATTTGTTATTTTATCGAACTTTAATAATTGATTACTAAAATAGCTTGAACTATTCTGTTTCAAAAAATGGTCTAACATGCTCGTATTCCAAGTGAAATATAATTATTCCAACTGTTAATATAAAAAAAAGTTTAGAGTATACAATATTTGCCCGAATTTTTACTTAAGGACCATGTAGCATTACTTAATACTTCTAAATTATTATTATTATTGCTTTATTAATTACACCCAAACTTAATAGTACTATTACAAGATAATCTAACCAGTATTATTATAAGATTCTTTAATGTGGCAGATTATAATAAAAACAAAAAAGCTCTAAACCCCA